GTGGGGGCTGTCTGTTGCTTGTGTGACAGTACTGTGGGGGCTGTCTGTTGCTTGTGTGACACTGTGGGGGCTGTCTGTTGCTTGTGTACTGTGGGGGGGGGTCTGTGGGGGCTGCTGTGACTGTGGGGGCTGTCTGTTGCTTGTGACAGTACTGTGGGGGCTGTCTGTTGCTTGTGTGACAGTACTGTGGGGGGTCTGTTGCTTGTGTGTTGCTTGAGTGACAGTACTGTGGGGGCTGTCTGTTGCTTGTGTGACAGTACTGTGGGGGCTGTCTGTTGCTTGTGTGACAGTACTGTGGGGGCTGTCTGTTGCTTGTGTGACAGTACTGTGGGGGGGGCTGTCTGTGGGGGCTGCTTGCTTGTGACAGTACTGTGGGGGCTGTCTGTTGCTTGTGTGACAGTACTGTGGGGGCTGTCTGTTGCTTGTGTGACAGTACTGTGGGGGGGCTGTCTGTTGCTTGTGTGACAGTACTGTGGGGGCTGTCTGTTGCTTGTGTGACAGTACTGTGGGGGCTGTCTGTTGCTTGAGTGACAGTACTGTGGGGGCTGTCTGTTGCTTGTGTGACAGTACTGTGGGGGCTGTCTGTTGCTTGTGTGACAGTACTGTGGGGGCTGTCTGTGCTTGTGTGACTACAGTACTGTGGGGGCTGTCTGTTGCTTGTGTGACAGTACTGTGGGGGGGGCTGTCTGTTGCTTGTGTCTGTTGCTTGTGAGTGACAGTACTGTGGGGGCTGTCTGTTGCTTGTGTGACAGTACTGTGGGGGCTGTCTGTTGCTTGTGTGACAGTACTGTGGGGGCTGTCTGTTGCTTGTGTGTACTGTGGGGGCTGTCTGTGCTTGTGTGGCTGTCTGTTGTTGCTTGTGTGACAGTACTGTGGGGGCTGTCTGTTGCTTGTGTGACAGTACTGTGGGGGCTGTCTGTTGCTTGAGTGACAGTACTGTGGGGGGCTGTCTGTTGCTTGTGTGACAGTACTGTGGGGGCTGTCTGTTGCTTGTGTGACAGTACTGTGGAAGCTGTCTGTTGCTTGTGTGACAGTACTGGGGGCTGTCTGTTGCTTGTGACAGTACTGTGGGGGCTGTCTGTTGCTTGTGTGACAGTACTGTGGGGGCTGTCTGTGGCTTGTGTGACAGTACTGTGGGGGGGGGCTGTCTGTTGCTTGTGTGACAGTACTGTGGGGGCTGTCTGTTGCTTGTGTGACAGTACTGTGTGGGGGCTGTCTGTTGCTTGTGTGACAGTACTGTGGGGGGGGCTGTCTGTTGCTTGAGTGACAGTACTGTGGGGGGCTGTCTGTTGCTTGTGTGACAGTACTGTGGGGGGCTATCTGTTGCTTGTGTGAGTACTGTGGGGGCTGTCTGTTGCTTGTGTGACAGTACTGTGGGGGCTGTCTGTTGCTTGTGTGACAGTACTGTGGAAGCTGTCTGTTGCTTGTGTGACAGTACTGTACTGTGGGGGCTGTCTGTTGCTTGTGTGACAGTACTGTGGGGGCTGTCTGTTGCTTGTGTGACAGTACTGTGGGGGGGGGCTGTCTGTTGCTTGTGTGACAGTACTGTGGGGGCTGTCTGTTGCTTGTGTGACAGTACTGTGGGGGGCTGTCTGTTGCTTGTGTGACAGTACTGTGGGGGCTGTCTGTTGCTTGTGTGACAGTACTGTGGGGGCTGTCTGTTGCTTGAGTGACAGTACTGTGGGGGGCTGGGCTTGTGTGACAGTACTGGGGGCTGTCTGTTGTGAGTGACAGTACTGTGGGGGGCTGTCTGTTGCTTAAGTGACAGTACTGTGGGGGGCTGTCTGTTGCTTGAGTGACAGTACTGTGGGGGCTTTCTGTTGCTTGAGTGACAGTACTGTGGGGGGCTGTCTGTTGCTTAAGTGACAGTACTGTGGGGGGCTGTCTGTTGCTTGAGTGACAGTACTGTGGGGGCTGGGCTTGTGTGACAGTACTGTGGGGGGCTGCTTGCTTGTGTGACAGTACTGTGGGGGCTGTCTGTTGCTTGTGTGACAGTACTGTGGGGGGTCTGTTGCTGTGGGGGGGGCTGTCTGTTGCTTGTGTGACAGTACTGTGGGGGGGGGCTGTCTGTTGCTTGTGTGACAGTACTGTGGGGGGGGCTGTCTGTTGCTTGTGTGACAGTACTGTGGGGGGGGCTGTCTGTTGCTTGTGTGACAGTACTGTGGGGGCTGTCTGTTGCTTGTGTGACAGTACTGTGGGGGGCTGTCTGTTGCTTGTGTGACAGTACTGTGGGGGCTGTCTGTTGCTTGTGTGACAGTACTGTGGGGGCTGTCTGTACTGTGCTTGTGTGACAGTACTGTGTGGGGCTGTCTGTGCTTGTGTGCTTGTTGTGACAGTACTGTGGGGGCTGTCTGTTGCTTGTGTGACAGTACTGTGCTTGGGGTACTGTGGGGGCTGTCTGTTGCTTGTGTGACAGTACTGTGGGGGTACTGTGGGGGCTGTCTGTTGCTTGTGTGACAGTACTGTGGGGGCTGTCTGTTGCTTGTGTGACAGTACTGTGGGGGCTGTCTGTCTGACAGTGCTTGTGTGACAGTACTGTGGGGGGCTGTCTGTTGCTTGTGTGACAGTACTGTGGGGGCTGTCTGTTGCTTGTGTGACAGTACTGTGGGGGCTGTCTGTTGCTTGTGTGACAGTACTGTGGGGGCTGTCTGTTGCTTGTGTGACAGTACTGTGGGGGCTGTCTGTTGCTTGTGTGACAGTACTGTGGGGGCTGTCTGTTGCTTGTGTGACAGTACTGTGGGGGCTGTCTGTTGCTTGTGTGACAGTACTGTGTTGCTTGTGTGACAGTAAGTGGTACTGGGCTGCTTGCTTGTGACAGTACTGGGGGCTGTCTGTTGCTGTCTGTTGCTTGTGTGTGACAGTACTGTGGGGGCTGTCTGTTGCTTGTGTGACAGTACTGTGGGGGCTGTCTGTTGCTTGTGTGACAGTACTGTGGGGGGCTGTCTGTTGCTTGTGTGACAGTACTGTGGGGGCTGTCTGTTGCTTAAGTGACAGTACTGTGGGGGGCTGTCTGTTGCTTGTGTGACAGTACTGTGGGGGGCTGTCTGTTGCTTGTGTGACAGTACTGTGGGGGCTGTCTGTTGCTTGTGTGACAGTACTGTGGGGGGCTGTCTGTTGCTTGTGTGACAGTACTGTGGGGGTCTGTTGCTTGTGTGACTACTGTGGGGGCTGTCTGTTGCAGTGACTACTGTGGGGGCTGTCTGTTGCTTGTGTGACAGTACTGTACTGTGGGGGCTGTCTGTTGGTGACAGTACTGTGGGGGCTGTCTGTTGCTTGAGTGACAGTACTGTGGGGGCTTTCTGTTGCTTGAGTGACAGTACTGTGGGGGGCTGTCTGTTGCTTAAGTGACAGTACTGTGCTTGTGTGACAGTACTGGGGGGCTGTCTGTTGCTTGAGTGACAGTACTGTGGGGGCTGTCTGTTGCTTAAGTGACAGTACTGTGGGGGGCTGTCTGTTGCTTGTGTGACAGTACTGTGGGGGCTGTCTGTTGCTTGTGTGACAGTACTGTGGGGGCTTTCTGTTGCTTGAGTGACAGTACTGTGGGGGCTGTCTGTGCTGTGACAGTACTGCTGTTGCTTGTGACAGTACTGTGGGGGGCTGTCTGTTGCTTGAGTGACAGTACTGTGGGGGGCTGTCTGGTGCTTGTGTGACAGTACTGTGGGGGGCTGGGTTGCTGACAGTACTGTGGGGGCTGTCTGTTGCTTGTGACAGTACTGTGGGGGGCTGTCTGTTGCTTGTGTGACAGTACTGTGGGGGGGCTGTCTGTTGCTTGTGTGACAGTACTGTGGGGGCTGTCTGTTGCTTGTGTGACAGTACTGTGGGGGGCTGTCTGTTGCTTGTGTGACAGTACTGTGGGGGGCTGTCTGTTGCTTGTGTGACAGTACTGTGGGGGGCTGTCTGTTGCTTGTGTGACAGTACTGTGGGGGCTGTCTGTTGCTTGTGTGACAGTACTGTGGGATAAGCCACACCCACTCACGGACGAAGAGCCACACCCACTCACACACGTAGAGCCACACCCACTCACAGACGTAGAGCCACACCCACTCACAGACGTAGAGCCACACCCACTCACGGACGTAGAGCCACACCCACTCACAGGTAGAGCCACTCCCACTCACAGACGTAGAGCCACACCCACTCACACATCTAGAGCCACACCCACTCACAGACGTAGAGCCACACCCACTCACACATCTAGAGCCACACCCACTCACGGACGTAGAGCCACACCCACTCACACATCTAGAGCCACACCCACTCACAGACGTAGAGCCACACCCACTCACACATCTAGAGCCACACCCACTCACACATCTAGAGCCACACCCACTCACACATCTAGAGCCACACCCACTCACAGACGTAGAGCCACACCCACTCACACATCTAGAGCCACACCCACTCACAGACGTAGAGCCACACCCACTCACACATCTAGAGCCACACCCACTCACACATCTATAGCCACACCCACTCACAGACGTAGAGCCACACCCACTCACACATCTAGAGCCACACCCCCTCACAGACGTAGAGCCACACCCACTCACAGACGTAGAGCCACACCCACTCACACACGTAGAGCCACACCCACTCACACACGTTGAGCCACACCCACTCACGGACGTAGAGCCACACCCACTCCCGGACGTAGAGCCACACCCACTCACGGACGTAGAGCCACACCCACTCACAGGTAGAGCCACTCCCACTTACAGACGTAGAGCCACACCCACTCACACATCTAGAGCCACACCCACTCACAGACGTAGAGCCACACCCACTCACACATCTAGAGCCACACCCACTCACGGACGTAGAGCCACACCCACTCACACATCTAGAGCCACACCCACTCACAGACGTAGAACCACACCCACTCACACATCTAGAGCCACACCCACTCACAGACGTAGAGCCACACCCACTCACACATCTAGAGCCACACCCCCTCACAGACGTAGAGCCACACCCACTACCGGACGTAGAGCCACACCCACCTTATAGAGCTCGGGGGCGGCGTAGGGCGGGGAGCCACAGAAGGTACTCAGCTGCTGGTGGAGGCTGGTGACGCGGGTGGAGAAGCCGAAGTCGCCCAGCTTGACCAGACCCGACCTGGCTACGAAGACGTTCTCAGCCTTGATGTCCCGGTGGATGATAGCCAGCCCGTGCTGTGGACACACACACGCACACGCTGTGTACTCTCCGCAACTCTCTCCATCTCCCGCCTCGTCAACACTACAACAGTTTACCCTAACACAAGCCTGGGAACCCGAACCTAACCTCTTCGACTTCGACTCCCAGGAAACATCAACATTGGAACGGAGTCGACATTATGATGGGAGAGTAATACCAGTGTGAGTCAATATATGGGACTGTGAGTATAAGGTTAGTATGAGGATTCCTTGCAAAGACCCCAACGACGCCTATCCTGCTCGCGGACAGAAACATATATATCCTGACAATTCGTACCTTCGTCTACCTGTTCACCTTAACAACCGCTCTTAATTACAGATAGAGTAAATACTGTAGTTATCATTCCAAATACAACTGCAGTCAGTATAAATAATATATAATAAAAATAATATATTATTAACACCCCCCCAGCAACACCCAGCAGCTGCAGGTACACTGTACCATACCCCAGCAACACCCAGCAGCTGCAAGTACACTGTACCACACCCCAGCAACACCCAGCAGCTGCAGGTACACTGTACCACACCCCAGCAACACCCAGCAGCTGCAGGTACACTGTACCACACCCCAGCAACACCCAGCAGCTGCAGGTACACTGTACCATACCCCAGCAACACCCAGCAGCTGCAGGTACACTGTACCACACCCCAGCAACACCCAGCAGCTGCAGGTACACTGTACCACACCCCAGCAACACCCAGCAGCTGCAGGTACACTGTACCACACCCCAGCAACACCCAGCAGCTGCAGGTACACTGTACCACACCCCAGCAACACCCAGCAGCTGCAGGTACACTGTACCACACCCCAGCAACACCCAGCAGCTGCAGGTACACTGTACCACACCCCAGCAACACCCAGCAGCTGCAGGTACACTGTACCACACCCCAGCAACACCCAGCAGCTGCAGGTACACTGTACCACACCCCAGCAACACCCAGCAGCTGCAGGTACACTGTACCACACCCCCCAGCAACACCCAGCAGCTGCAGGTACACTGTACCACACCCCCCAGCAACACCCAGCAGCTGCAGGTACACTGTACCACACCCCCCAGCAACACCCAGCAGCTGCAAGTACACTGTACCACACCCCCCAGCAACACCCAGCAGCTGCAGGTACACTGTACCACACACCCCAACAACACCCAGCAGCTGCAGGTACACTGTACCACACCCCCCAGCAACACCCAGCAGCTGCAGGTACACTGTACCACACCCCCCAGCAACACCCAGCAGCTGCAAGTACACTGTACCCACACCCCAGCAACACCCAGCAGCTGCAGGTACACTGTACCACACCCCCCAGCAACACCCAGCAGCTGCAGGTACACTGTACCACACCCCCCAGCAACACCCAGCAGCTGCAGGTACACTGTACCACACCCCCCAGCAACACCCAGTAGCTGCAAGTACACTGTACCACACACCCCAGCAACACCCAGCAGCTGCAGGTACACTGTACCACACCCCCCAGCAACACCCAGCAGCTGCAGGTACACTGTACCACACCCCCCAGCAACACCCAGCAGCTGCAGGTACACTGTACCACACCCCCCAGCAACACCCAGCAGCTGCAGGTACACTGTACCACACACCCCAGCAACACCCAGCAGCTGCAGGTACACTGTACCACACCCCAGCAACACCCAGCAGCTGCAGGTACACTGTACCACACACCAGCAACACCCAGCAGCTGCAGGTACACTGTACCACACACCAGCAACACCCAGCAGCTGCAGGTACACTGTACCACACCCCAGCAACACCCAGCAGCTGCAGGTACACTGTACCACACCCCCCAGCAACACCCAGCAGCTGCAGGTACACTGTACCACACCCCAGCAACACCCAGCAGCTGCAGGTACACTGTACCACACCCCAGCAACACCCAGCAGCTGCAGTTACACTGTACCACACACCCCAGCAACACCCAGCAGCTGCAGGTACACTGTACCACACCCCCCAGCAACACCCAGCAGCTGCAGGTACACTGTACACACACCCCAGCAACACCCAGCAGCTGCAGGTACACTGTACCACACACCCCAGCAACACCCAGCAGCTGCAGGTACACTGTACCACACACCCCAGCAACACCCAGCAGCTGCAGGTACACTGTACCACACCCCAGCAACACCCAGCAGCTGCAGGTACACTGTACCACACCCCAGCAACACCCAGCAGCTGCAGGTACACTGTACCAGCAACACCCCAGCTGCCAGCAACACCCAGCAGCTGCAGGTACACTGTACCACACCCCAGCAACACCCAGCAGCTGCAGGTACACTGTACCACACCCCAGCAACACCCAGCAGCTGCAGGTACACTGTACCACACCCCAGCAACACCCAGCAGCTGCAGGTACACTGTACCACACCCCAGCAACACCCAGCAGCTGCAGGTACACTGTACCACACCCCAGCAACACCCAGCAGCTGCAGGTACACTGTACCACACCCCAGCAACACCCAGCAGCTGCAGGTACACTGTACCACACCCCCAGCAACACCCAGCAGCTGCAGGTACACTGTACCACACCCCAGCAACACCCAGCAGCTGCAGGTACACTGTACCACACCCCAGCAACACCCAGCAGCTGCAGGTACACTGTACCACACCCCAGCAACACCCAGCAGCTGCAGGTACACTGTACCACACCCCAGCAACACCCAGCAGCTGCAGGTACACTGTACCACACCCCAGCAACACCCAGCCCCACTGCACCCCACAACCCAGCAGCTGCAGGTACACTGTACAACACCCAGCAGCTGCCAGCAACACCCAGCAGCTGCAGGTACACTGTACCACACCCCCCAGCACACCCAGCAGCCCACTGCAACACCCAGCAGCTGCAGGTACACTGTACCCCAGCAACACAGCCCCAGCAACACCCAGCAGCTGCAGGTACACTGTACCACACACCCCAGCAACACCCAGCAGCTGCAGGTACACTGTACCACACCCCCCAGCAACACCCAGCAGCTGCAGGTACACTGTACCACACCCCCCAGCAACACCCAGCAGCTGCAAGTACACTGTACCACACCCCAGCAACACCCAGCAGCTGCAGGTACACTGTACACACACCCCCCAGCAACACCCAGCAGCTGCAGGTACACTGTACCACACACCCCAGCAACACCCAGCAGCTGCAGGTACACTGTACCACACCCCCCAGCAACACCCAGCAGCTGCAGGTACACTGTACCACACACCCCAGCAACACCCAGCAGCTGCAGGTACACTGTACCACACCCCCCAGCAACACCCAGCAGCTGCAGGTACACTGTACCACACACCCCAGCAACACCCAGCAGCTGCAGGTACACTGTACCACACCCCAGCAACACCCAGCAGCTGCAGGTACACTGTACCACACCCCCCAGCAACACCCAGCAGCTGCAGGTACACTGTACCACACACCCCAGCAACACCCAGCAGCTGCAGGTACACTGTACAACACACCCCAGCAACACCCAGCAGCTGCAGGTACACTGTACCACACCCCAGCAACACCCAGCAGCTGCAGGTACACTGTACCACACCCCAGCAACACCCAGCAGCTGCAGGTACACTGTACCACACCCCAGCAACACCCAGCAGCTGCAGGTACACTGTACCACACCCCAGCAACACCCAGCAGCTGCAGGTACACTGTACCACACACCCCCAGCAACACCCAGCAGCTGCAGGTACACTGTACCACACACCCCAGCAACACCCAGCAGCTGCAGGTACACTGTACCACACACCCCAGCAACACCCAGCAGCTGCAGGTACACTGTACCACACACCCCAGCAACACCCAGCAGCTGCAGGTACACTGTACCACACCCCAGCAACACCCAGCAGCTGCAGGTACACTGTACCACACCCCAGCAACACCCAGCAGCTGCAGGTACACTGTACCACACCCCAGCAACACCCAGCAGCTGCAGGTACACTGTACCCACACCCCAGCAACACCCAGCAGCTGCAGGTACACTGTACCACACCCCAGCAACACCCAGCAGATGCAGGTACACTGTACCACACCCCAGCAACACCCAGCAGCTGCAGGTACACTGTACCACACCCCAACAACACCCAGCAGCTGCAGGTACACTGTACCACACACCCCAGCAACACCCAGCAGCTGCAGGTACACTGTACCACACACCCCAGCAACACCCAGCAGCTGCAGGTACACTGTACCACACCCCACACCCCAGCTGCAACACCCAGCAGCTGCAGGTACACTGTACCAGCACACCCAGCCCCAGCAACACCCAGCAGCTGCAGGTACACTGTACCACACACCCCAGCAACACCCAGCAGCTGCAGGTACACTGTACACCCCACACACCCCAGGTACACAACACCCAGCAGCTGCAGGTACACTGTACCACACACCCCAACAACACCCAGCAGCTGCAGGTACACTGTACCACACCCCAGCAACACCTAGCAGCTGCAGGTACACTGTACCACACCCCAACAACACCCAGCAGCTGCAGGTACACTGTACCACACCCCAACAACACCCAGCAGCTGCAGGTACACTGTACCACACCCCAGCAACACCCAGCAGCTGCAGGTACACTGTACCACACCCCAGCAACACCCAGCAGCTGCAGGTACACTGTACCACACCCCAACAACACCCAACAGCTGCAGGTACACTGTACCACACACCCCAGCAACACCCAGCAGCTGCAGGTACACTGTACCACACCCCAACAACACCCAGCAGCTGCAGGTACACTGTACCACACACCCCAGCAACACCCAGCAGCTGCAGGTACACTGTACCCACACCCCAGCAACACCCAGTAGCTGCAGGTACACTGTACCACACCCCAGCAACACCCAGCAGCTGCAGGTACACTGTACCACACACCCCAGCAACACCCAGCAGCTGCAGGTACACTGTACCACACACCCCAGCAACACCCAGCAGCTGCAGGTACACTGTACCACACCCCAGCAACACC